CAGTGATATTCATGTCCAGGCCTCGGTTGGTGTTCCGCCGGCTGCCAGGCCCTGGATTCCTTATCCGAGGGTTCCGTATCCAATGCGCTCACCACATTGTCGGGGTGAGGACTCGGGTCGGGTTGGACGACAGGGATTCGAGGTGCTGGCTTCTTGGGCGTTGTCGTCGATTCTCGGCTTTCCAGCCTCGGGATGCTACTTTTCAGCTGCGCCTTGCTAGGAGCGTTCCAGTGGTGCCCGAATCTTTTCCTCTGGGGACCCGAGTTATGACCCGAAAGCCAAACGGTGAGGTTCACTGGGGGCGTTCAAGACGGGGAGAAGGACCTGTAGGGGTGTGTAGATATCATGGCAGGTGCCATGTCGTCTCCCAGATTTCATGGCCCCCTCCCTTCTTTTGATGCGCTTCCTTGCCCCCCCCTTGTCCGCGCACATGCCTCGGGCCGTGATGTGCGCCCCCCCGTCCTCTTCCTGGCCCATCTCTTCGGCGAGTCCGATCTCCGGGGTGCTTTCATCCCTCCTGCCTCCTCCGTCCCCCCGACGCTCCCAGGCATCTCCGCGGCCCCTCAGCTCCAGCCGTCGCGAAAGCATGCGGCCAGCCTTTTTCCCAACAATCCTGTGGTGTTGGGTCCTCGTTGCGAAAACACAGCTCCCTGCGTCCTCCTCCTCCTCCTCCTCCTCCTCCTCCTCCTCCTCCTCTCCTCCTCGCCCTCCTCCCTTCTCCCATCCCTGCCTCTGCCCCCTGTACCCATCAGATTTCGCCACACCCATCACACGCTTCGTGGCCCCATCTGGAGCTGCACCGAAGCTCCCAGTGGGGCACGCCCATCACGCGATTCGTGGCCCCAGAGGGAGTTCCACCGGCGATCTCAGCGGCGCATTTCGCGTGCGGTCCTGCTACCCATATCGGCACTCACCTCGCAGGTTTCGTGGCCCCATAGGGAGCTCCACCGAGTGTGCCAGTGGCGCAGTTCGGTCACGCCACCAATTTCTTCACACCCCTCACAATTTTCGTGTCCTCCAAGGGAGCTCCACCGAAGGTCCCAGTGGCGCAGTTCGCATGCGGTCCCGTTCCCATTTCGGTACACCCCTCGCAGGTTTCGTGGCCCCATCGGGAGCTCCACCGAAGGTCCCAGTGGCGCAGATCGCATGCGGTTCTGCACTCATGTCGGCACACGCATCACACATTTCATGGCCCCACAGGAAGCTTCACCAAAGGTCCCACTGGCGCAGCTCGCATGTGGTCCCGCTACCCATGTCCACACACCCCTCACACGTTTCATGGCCCATAGGGAGTTCCACCGAAGGTCACAGTGGCGCATCCCGCATGCTGTCCCGCACGCTTTTCGGCACACCCTCACACGTTTCGTGGCTCCATAGAGGGCTGCACCGAATGTCCCAGTGGCGCAGTTCGCATGCGGTCCCGCACCCATTTTGGCACACGAGTCACACGTTTCGTGGCCCCACAGGGAACCCCACCGAATGTTCCAGTGGCGCAGTTCGCGTGCGGTCCCGCACACATATCGGCACGTCCTTGACACGTTCTGTGGCCCCATATGGGGCTCCACCGAAGGTCCCAGTGGCACAGATCGCATGCGGTCAAGAAACCAATTTCGTCACACCCCTCACAATTTTTATGTCCTCAGAGGGGGCTCCACCGAAGGTCACAGTGGGGCAGTTCGCATGCGGTCTCGGCATCCATTTCGGCACACCCCTCGAACGTTTCGTGGCCCCATAGGGAGCTCCACCGAAGGTCCTAGTGGCGCAGATTGCATGCGTCCCCGCCACCCATGTCGGCACACCCTCACACGTTTCGTGGCCCCATAGGGAGCTCCACCGAAGGTCCCAGTGGCGCAGCCTGCATGCAGTCCCGTCACCCATTTCGGCACACCCCTCGCAATTTTCGTGGCCTCATAGGGAGCTCCACCGAACGTCCCACTGGCGCAGTTCGCATGCGGTCTCGCCACAAGTTTCGACACATCTGCACACGTTTCGTGGCCCCATACTGAGCTCTACCGAAGGTCCCAGCGGCGCAGCTCGCATGCCGTCCCCGCCACTCATGTCGGCAGACGCCTCGCACGTTAAGCGGGCCCCACCGAAGGTCCCAGTGGCGCAGTTCGCAAGCGATCCCGTACCCATTTCGGCACACGCATCACACGCTTCGTGGCCCCACAGGGAGCTTTACCGAAGGTCCCGCTGGCGCAGCTCGCATGCGTCCCCGCCACCCGTGTCGGAGCACCCCTCACAAGTTTCGTGGCCGCATGGCGATCCACCGAAGGTCCCACTGGCGCAGTTCGCATGCGGTCCCGCCACAACTTTCGGCACACCCTCACACCTGTCGCGGACCCATAGGGAGCTCTACCGAAGGTCCCAGCGGCGCGGCTCGCATGCCGTCCTGCCCATGTCGGCAGACGTCTCGCACGTTAAGGGGCCCCACCGAAGGTCCCAGTGGCGCAGTTCGCATGCGATCCCGTGCCCATTTCGGCACACGCATCACACGTTTCGTGGCCCCACAGGGAGCTTCACCGAAGGTCACACTGGCGCAGCTCGCATGAGTTCCCGCCACCCGTGTCGGAGCACCCCTCACACGTTTCGTGGCCGCATAGCGATCCACCAAATGTCCCACTGGCGCAGTTCGCATGCGGTCTCGCCACAAGTTTCGACACACCTGCACACGTTTCGTGGCCCCATACTGAGCTCTACCGAAGGTCCCAGCGGCGCAGCTCGCATGCCGTCCCCGCCACTCATGTCGGCAGACGCCTCGCACGTTAAGCGGGCCCCACCGAATGTCCCAGTGGCGCAGTTCGCATGCGGTCCCGTCACCCATTTCGGCACACGCATCACACGCTTCGTGGCCCCACAGGGAGCTTCACCGAAGGTCCCACTGGCGCAGTTCGCATGCGGTCCCGCCACAACTTTGGGCACACCCTCACACGTTTCGTGGACCCATATGGAGCTCTACCGAAGGTCCCAGCGGCGCGGCCCGCATGCCGTCCTGCTCCCATGTCGGCAGACGTCTCGCACGTTAAGGGGGCTCCACCGAAGGTCCCAGTGGCGCAGTTCGCATGCGGTCCCGCACCCATTTCGGCACACGCATCACACGTTTCGTGGCCCCACAGAGAGCTTCACCAAAGGTCCCACTGGCGCAGCTCGCATGCGTCTCCGCCACCCATGTCGGGGCACCCCTCACACGCACGTTTCGTGGCCGCATATCGATCCACCGAATGTTCCACTGGCGCAGTTCGCATGCGGTCCCGCCACAAATTTCGGCACACGCATCACGCGGTTCGTGGCCTCATAGGGAGCTCCACCGAAGGTCCCAGTGGCGCAGCTCGCATTCGTCTCCCCAGCCCGTGGCCTCATAGGGAGTTCCACAGACGGCCCCAGAGGCCGCGGCCGCTTGCGCCCCCCGCGCCCTTGTCGGCACACGACTCACACGCGTCGTGGCCCCATAAGAAGCTCCACCGAAGGTTCCACTGGCGCAGATCGCATGCGGTCCCACACCCATGTCCGAACACCCCTCACACGTTTCGTGGCCCCAGAAGGAGCTCTACCGAAGACGATGCTCACAACTGTGTTACTCACAACTGCACATGGTTGGGTCCTTCGCCAGTCTAATCTATGTTTTCGGCCTGCAGGGGCCGTTTCCTGGCACCCGGGCCGTCAACAAACAGCTCGGGATGAGAAGCCGGTCCCCGACAAGGGCCCGAGATCCCTGGGGGCCCATGTGGGGAAAATCTGAGCCGTCGTAGGAGGGGGTCCGTACTTCCTGACGTTTCCAGGGGTTCCACGGTGAAGAGAGCCTTTCATCCCTGGACGTGCAGGTAGGTGTACTCCGACTTGGCGCCTGCGTGCACACCTCGTCCCATTTGGGCATGTGCTTGTGTAAGCCGTCTCCATGATGATGATGATGAGGAGGAGGAGGATGATGATGATGATGATGGTGGTGGTGCTGGTGCTGGTGATGGCGATGATGATGGCAGTGGTGGTGGTGGTGGTGATCATGGTGATGGTGATGACGATGCTGATGATGATGACGATGAGGAGGTGGAGGAAGCATGAGGATGAGAATGAGGATGAGGAGGGGGAGGAGGATAATGAGGAGGAGGAGGTGGAGGAGTGGGAGGAGGAAGACGAAGAGGAGAGGGGGGAGGAGGATGGAGAGAAGGACGGCAGTAGGGGAGGGGAGGGGGGAGTATGAGGACAGCGAGGTCTCCCAGGGGTTTGGAGGGGAACCTCCGCAAGTCTTTTTTTTGGGGCGGTACCTTTCAGTAGTGTTTCTCATACGATACACCCATCACTTTTTTTTCAGCAAAGCAGCTTGCAGATTAGAGTCTGAGTTTTCTTAGCATAGATGTAAACAAATCTGGGTTCCAGGGTAAACTGTGGAGATGATTTTAGATTTGTAGTGTCTTTCAGCAGCCTGCTCCTGCTGCCGCTGCTTTCTGAGATTTATATCGATTCTCCAGACAAGGACCTATACCGCTAGTTCAGACAACGAGACTTGCAGAGTCTGTTTTCTAAGGGCGAGGTGCTCTTCCACTGTATTTTTCGGGTGTGACCGTTGCGGATATGGTCGGACCGAGGTGACATATCGAGGTCGGTTCGGGAAGGGTACCCTCGTGTTTTTCGTGCTTGTTCGATGTTCATTTGGATCCTGGGGAGGGTATCCTTGGATGTTCTGTTTTCGCCGACGGAGGGTCTCATGTTCTTGAAGGATGTTCTTCTGGCCTAGGTCCGACTGTAATGCAGTTCTGGTGTAGCCGTTGTGGATACATCTTTCCGAGACCTGAGACTTGCGACTCCGCACACCTTGAGATCCGACCTTGCAAAAACACTGCGACGTCACAGAACATCGCGCCCGGAGCCCCGAGCCCCATCTCTTTCTGCATTCTTCCTCGAGCCCCATCGATCTGTAAGGGTCCCAGGGCCCGACGTGGAGCCAAAACGCCCGCAGTGAAGAAGAATGCAGCGCCAGGATCTCAGGTCCCCCTGCGGAGCAGGACGCCCTGGACACCCTCGACGCCCTCTCGACGAGCCCCACGCCGCCCTGGGCCCTGCCGGACCCGCGCGCGCGCCCGGGCACGAGGCTCGGGGGCCCCCAGCAAGGTGGACCCCAAAAGGGGTCCAGCGACAAGGTGGTGGTGCAGCAGATTTGGTGCAATAGATGCGTGCAGTACGTGTCGGGGCGCAGATGTATTGCTGTATTCTTCGCGCGCAACACACTACTTGTAGTACAATGCAATACAATTCTCCGGTGCAATACATTCGCTATGCAATTGCCCCAAATCTGTTGCACCACCCCCTTTCAGCTGGACCCCCTTTGGGGTCACCCAAACCCAGGCAGTGTGGTGACCTTTGAGTGGCAATGTTTCGGTGAGGCCAGCGCCAGAAAAAGTTCGAGCAGGGCTTCAAAATGGTTTCCGCCGTCGAATCTTCGATCCATGCGTAGGATGCTCCGTAGACCTGCGGGTTCACGTTTTTTTTCGTAGATTCGGTCAATAACTCAAGTTTGTGGTAAACCCATTGGGGCATCTTGGATCACCCCGAAAAAAAAAGAAAGCACCCAGGAATTCAAACAATGCACGGGGGAATGGACGTCCGAGCGATGGCAAATCTGGGTTCCCTTAGATCCATTGACAGGCACCGCCACTTTGGGCTCGTTCAAGCATTCCCAAAACGGCCATATGCTCGAAAACACTAGCATGTTGGATGCCAGCTTAGACACTTCCACGCACGCCCAACAACCTCTCACGCCCGCCTTACGTACGAAGGCCTTCTGTGGTCTGACAGAGTCTTAAAATCATCAAGTGGAACCCAATGGTGACCGCACCGTGTGGTGAGTCAATGGGGATTCGGGGTCACCGCACAGTTTTTTGGCTTGGGTCGTTCTCCGAGGACATCTCGGGCGACCGGGGCCAGTCGGGGTCCCAGTGCGGAGAGGTGCTTCGGAATTTTGAGGTCACCGCACGGTGTGTCACCGCACGGTGTGTCGCCGCACGTTTTTGGTTGGCGGCGCGCACAAGGTGACGGTTTTCTTATTCATTGTTTTGCCGATCGGCGCGGGCCCTCGCGCCCCCCTCCCCCTGGAGAAGATCTTGGCTGTTTTTGGCGCCTGCTTCAAGCAGGGGGAGTCTCCCTCATGGGACGCACCGCGGCAAACAGTCGCACGAAGCAGAGGTCTGGAGCCAGACCCCCCACTCTTCCGCCCAATGTCGAAACGCCGAAGAAGACAACGCTCACAAGGGGGTGGCCTTCTAAGAAGGCGGTGCGCTCGTTAGAAGGCATGGGGCCTTCTTAGACGGGCCTGGTGGCTTCCAAGAAGGCTTCCAGGGGGAGTCTCTGAGAAGGCAGTGGCCTTCTTGGAGGCTCCCCCGCCTTTTTCGAAAGCCGCCCCCCCCCCTCGAGGAGGAGGAGGAGGAGGAGGAGGTGGAGGAGGAGGAGGAGGAGGAGCAGGAGGAGGAGGCGGTGGTGGAGGAGGAGGAGGACGACGAGGCGCGCCCCCGACTTGGGACCCCCGAGAGGCCCGTGGCATCCTCCGCCGCCGCCGCGGACGCGGCGGCCACCAGGGCGGACGGCCTCGACCCTCGGCAGCGCAAGGGCTCGCCCGACAGGGGCGACCCGCCGAAGAGGGCGTCCCAGGTGTCCGACGGCGAGGATCCCGGCGCGCTCGCGCGCCGCGCCCGCCGGCCCCACGCCAGCAGGCAGAGGTCCGATCGGAGGCCCGAAAGCGTTACGCCCCTCGTACAGTCAGCCCGCATGGCAAGGATGGGCGGCCTTCCCAAGGCCCTGCATCCTTGCCCCCTCGGCCCATGCCTGGCGACTTTCGCTGGCCGAGCTCGCTCGAAAAACGTCAACATGGCCCTCCGCGGCCCTTGCATCCTCACTGCGCATCCTTCTGATACGGGTCGACTGTTTATTGGAGACGGCGACGGTATAATAGGCCCGCCATGACGAGCAGCGCAGGCGGCGAAGGTGAAACATTTGACGCAGTATTAGCAGGCGTGCTTTGGGTAGGGGAGGGGAAGGGAGGAGGGAAGAAAGAGGGGGATGTGAGGGGGAGGGCGACGAAGTCGCTGTCGGCCCCAAAGATTTTCGGGGCTGCCTGGCAGCGAAATCAGAGAAACCTGCCCTCGCCGACCAATGGTTCGGGCAACCCGATTGGCAGCGGGAGCAGGGCTCGGCATTCGTCGAGCATGTTGCGAAATCCGAACCCTGCCCCCCGCCGCTCATCATGCAGGAGAAGACTGGTGGGGGTAGGGTTAAGTCGGGCCTGTCCCTCTACAGGGGGGACATTCGAAAATAGTTTGAACATCGTCCGGTGACGATTTCCCCCCACCAGACAGGTTGAGGTCGTTAGATTTTAAGAACAGACCTCCCGGCCACTCCCACCCTTTATACCGCGGCCGCCAGACCCCAAGTTGTCCCGAGTGTCCTGGTTATCCCGCCTCGCGCCCTCGACAAACACGACAGAAGACACCCTGCATACCGCGGCCGCCAGACCCCAAGTTGTCCCGAGAGTCACGGTGATCCCGCCTCGCGCCCTCGACAAACACGACAGAACGCACCCTGCATACCGCGGCCGCCAGTCCCCAAGTTGTCCCGAGAATCCCAGGTATCTCGCCTCGCGTCCTCGATAAACACGACAGAGCACAACATGACACACCATAACATAACATAACATAACAAGAGCATGACATAACATGGCATAACATAATATATCATTATCATAGCAAAATAGAGGACACCAACATGTCACATAACATACCAGAGCAGAACATGACATAACAGAAACCGACATAATACAACACAGTACCTATACCACCACCCTTCGGGTGATAAAGAGGTTGGGGGGGGGGGAGGGGGGGAACCAACATCTGACTCAATCGATGTCACTATCGATCTGACTCAACGGGACACCAGGGGACACCAGGGGACACCACGGGACACCACGGGACACCGCGGGGCACCACATCGATCTGACTATCGGTGCCACTATCGATCTCACTATACAGCATAGGACACCACGGGACACCTCGGGACACCACATTGATCTCACTATCGATATCACTATCGATCTCACTATCGATCTCACTCAACGGGACACCACGGGACACCGCGGGACACCACGGGACAACTGTCGATCTCATTATCGATCTCACTATCGATTTCACTTTTTGGGACACCACGGGACACAACGGGCGCCTCGGGGCACCACATCGATCTCACTATCGATCTCACTATCGTTTTCACTATCGGTCTCATCAACCTAACTATCGATATCATTATCGATATCACTATCAATCTCAGCACGTAAAACCACGCGACACCGACGGGACAACGATGGGACACCAACGGGACATAATCAATCTCACTGTCGATCTCACTATCCATCCCACTATCGATCCTACTATTGATCTCGCTATCGATCTCACTATCGATCTCGCTTTCGATCTCACTAATCATCTCACTATCGATTCCACTATCGATCTCGCTATCGATCCCACTCGATCGATCTCACTATCGATCTCACTGTCGATATCACGATCGATCTCACTATAGATCCCACTATCGATCTCTCACTATACGATCTCACTATCGGTCTCATTATCGATCTCACTATCGATCTCACTATCGATCTCACTGTCGATCTCACCACGGGACACCACGGGACAGCGACGGGACACCGACGGGACACCAGCGGGACACCAGCGGGACACCGGCGGGACACCGCGTGCCACCGCTTGCTGGGCGGAGAACCTTTTGGTCTGGCCGCGGCCCAGCCACGACGGGACACCAGCGGGACACTAGCGGGACACCAGCGGGACACCGGCGGAACACCGCGCGCCACTGGTTGCCGGGCGGAGAACCTTTTGGTCCAGCCGCGGCCCAGCCACAGGAGAATTTCTTCTCCCCCTCCCAGGCAGCTTCGCCTCGCCCGCACGCACGGCACGAACACGAAACCGAAATCGATTTCCCGGTAGGGGGGCTCTCCGTTCCACTTCGATCTCACCCCCAAACCTCCGAGAACATAACCGAGCGCAACACAAGACACATTGACACAACATTCAATTTCATGACGCAGCGTCACCAAACATATGATATTATGACAGCAGAGCATAGCGGTGAACACGCCAGAACACAACATACCACACCAGAAAATAACAACATATCAAGAGCATGCCATAACATGACATAACATACATAGCAATAGCATGACACACTTAACATGATATAACATATCATAACACATCATAGCATAGCACGGTACAACATAAGGCGACATACCACAACATAACAACACATACCAGAGGAACATATAAGACGCCCTGCCAGAACACCCCATATCATCGAAATTCATCACATAAGATATCAACACACGACAGTATATCATGTCGTCACATACTAGCATAGCAGGTCACAATATATTTTACTGTGCCGAGCCGTTCACAAACACAGCATCACACAGTATACCAGAGCATAGCATGATCTAACAGAAGACGACATAACACAATAACTACACGTAGCCGATCAACGCATAACACAGTATGGCAGGACGCATCATATCATGGCTCAGCATCACATTACATATCTTAACACGGCACCAGAGCATTGCGAAACATTCTAGCAGAGCAGATCATAACATAACGTACTGAGCCGAGCCGTCAACAGCATCACCGAACAGAGCATACTATAACATACCATGTCAGCATATCATGCAATAACATAGTGCCGCAACCCATCTCCAACCATATGGTGACATATATGAGCAACGTGCACCCATGGATGTCGGATACCCATGTGCCGGGGGGGCTCCGCCCGGAGCCGCCGCGCGCCCCGCGCATGCTCGGGGGAGCGAAGAAGACGAGGGCGAGGGGGAAGAGGGGGAGGGCGAGGCGCATGATGAGGGAAGAGGACGAATAAAAGGGCGAGGGGGAGGGAACGGAGGAGCAGGAGGAGGAGGAGGAGGAGGAGGAGGAAGAGGAGGAGTGGGAGGAACGAGGATGATGAGGAGGAACAGGAGGAGGAGGAGGAGGAGGAAGGAGAGGTCCGCCTCACCTCCTTTTTCCTCCTCCTCGTCCTTCGTCGTCCGTCTCCTCCTCGTGGTGCTGCTGCTGTTCCTCCTCTTCCTCTTACTGGAGGTTGATACTATCTTAGAACAAGTTTTGGGGTATCGCAAAAGCGTTTTGGGTTGGTTTTGTCCTCGTCAGGGGCCTCGGGGTTGTTAGAATGGGGGAAACATCAACTTGCGACCTGGCCCGGCCGCCGCGCTGGCCGACGCCGCTGGGCACTGCGCACATCCTTCCAGTAGGCGCGCGCAACCGTGGGACCAAACGCCGAAGGTTGGTACATTTTCCCTACCTAGGCTCTGCCTAGAAGGGTTCTTACTCTCTGGGCTTAAAGGGGCCGGGCAGTGGAAAGCGCCCCGGGCGGTTCCCCCAGTATCCGCCCCGCGGTTCCCCCAGTTACGTCCCCTTAGCTTAGCGTTGCTTATCTCATCTTAGCTTAGCTTATTTCATCTTAGCTTAGCTTAGCATCATCTTAGCTCGGGTTTATCTTAGCTTAGCTTACCTTCATCTTAGCTTCGCTGAGCTTTAGCATAGCAGAACACAGCATAGCATAGCATAGCGTAGCATATCATAGCGCAGCATAGCATATCATAGCATAGCCCAGCATAGCATCCACTATTGCTGAGGCGGAACCCGACGAGGCTCCAACTCCTAGGTAGGGTCGCAATGGGATAATTTTGGCTATGTTTTTTCTTTCGTCCAAAATCCCCCCGTTTGAGGACACCACCACCACCACCACCACCACCACCACCACCACCGCCACCACCACCACCACCACCACCACCACCACCACCACCACCACCACCACCACCACCACCACCACCACCACCACCACCACCACCACCACCACCACCACCACCACCACCACCACCACCACCACCACCACCACCACCCACCACCACCACCACCACCACCAGCAGCACCACCACCACCACCACCACCACCACCACCACCACCACCACCACCACCACCACCACCACCACCACCACCACCACCACCACCACCACCACCACCACCACCACCACCACCACCACCACCACCACCACCACCACCACCACCACCACCACCACAACTACCACAACCACGCACGCACGCACGCACGCACGCGCACCACCACCCACTAGTCCGCGGATAGAGAAAATCAGCGCCATGGTAAGGGATGGGAGGGAGGGGTAGGACGTCAGATATGACGCGCGCGCACCTAGCTTGTCCCCCTCCCTCTCCCCCTCCTCCTCCTCCTCCTTCTCTTCCTCCTCCTCCTTCTCCTGCTCCTCCTCCTCTTCCTCCTCCTCCTCCTCCTCCTCCTCCTCCTCCTCCTCCTCCTCCTCTCTCCACCGGTAATTAGAGTGCCCCGCCGCCGGCAGGCGGCGGTGGGGGGGAGGGGGGCACGTGCCCAGGGACCAGTTCGGCTGCGCGTCAGAGGCACCTCTCGCCAGAGTCACCGACCCGTCTCAGAGAGATGCGCGGTGAGGATGCAAGGGCCTTGGAGGGCCACGTGGACGTTTTTCGCACGAGTCTGGCCAGCGGAAGTCGTTAAGGATGGGCCGAGGGGGCAAGGATTCCCGGATAGCTCCTCAGAGCTAAGTGAGGGCTGTCAGATTAGAAGCTGGAGCCGCAGGGTAGCCCGGGAGATCGTTTCGGCGGCGGTCCAGGCTCCCCGGAGCGGGCTGCTCGAGGTTCTGGCGTGCTCTGGCAGGCCTTTTGTTAAGCGTTTCCCAATACGCGTGCCCGGAAGCTCTCCAGAAGGTCCTTCGGAAGCTGTCTCCAGGTCCTTCCAGTGAGCTTCGCCAGGCCTTTTCCACGCCCTTCGGGCGCCCTGCTACCCGGGTTTTGGACTGCACAAGTTGAGATCAAGCCACGCCCTGCGGGCGCCTTGCTATCCGGGTTTTGAACTACACAAGTGAAAAGGCACCCTTGGGAAGGTTGCCCATCCTTACTGTGCGGGCAGCGGCCTGCGCATCTGGCGGTGTTCCCCAAGGGCCCCCCTCGACCGCGCACTGGAGGTCGCTCTTGCCCGGTGTCGCTCCGGCGTGCAGCCGACCACTGCCAGGAGGGGAAGAGACACGGAGGCACAGATGGTCGCCGAGTCCCAGGAGAATCTGTGGAGCAAATACGGGAAGCCGTGGGGAAGACGGAAATGCAAGATGTATGGAGGAGAATCTGGGGGATGCTCTGGGATCTGTGCCTGGCTGTTTGCATGTGTCTCTGGGCGGGGGGGGATCCCAGAACTTTTGTCTACTCATCCGTGTGTCCCTGGGCCCCTTCTCACAGTGGCCCACGTGGCCCTGTCCGGGGGGCCGCCGGACACATTCGCGGAAACTGGAGCATATCCATTTCCAGTGGTGGGCTGCTTTTCAACTCCAGGATTTTTTTGCGGTCGGGGACGACGCCAGGGTGGTGTGGTGTATACTTGTTCCCCCGCTTTCCCAGGGAAAAAACGACGGACAACGTATACACCAGGATCCCGTATGCACCAGGATCCGCTTTCCCGTGCAAGTTCCAGTGCACGGCAGCAAGAAGTATCGGTGTACAGAGTTCGGCTCCCTGCATCCGGGGACGAGAGTCGGGCCGGACGAAAGGGGGGGATTGGGAAAGGGGGGGTTACGAAATCTGCTGCATGCAGCTGGTTTCGGCCCCACCGAGGGGCCCATTCCTCGACACATGGGCGCCTCCCGGCGCCGGGAGGCGCCGGGAAAATCAGCTCCGTGAGCCGATTCTGAACCCCCCCCCTTTGCTATTCCCCCCTTTCGCCCGACCCGAGAGAGGCGCCGCGCGGCGCGGAGTGCGATCCCCGGGGGCAGGGGGCGGCGCGCGGTGGGCGGGGGCGGCGCGCGGGTGGGGCGCCGCCCTCCTCGAGCGCACACGGCTCTGGTCTCGGCTGCCCGGGGGGGTGGGCTGGAGTCCCGGGGGGAGGACATGTCGATTGGGCGTCAGAGTGACCTTTCGCCGGAGTGACCTTTGGTGCGGGCCCACTGGGGCCCCCCGATCGCCGAAGGCGATACGATAGCAGCGTCTTGAGCGATTGGATTTTGGCCCCACGGCGGCCCCCCCAAAAGCCGCGCACCAAAGGTCACTCTTACCCAGGGTCACTCTTGCGTGTCGCCGAACATGAGCACAGGCAGATGTAATGGTCGGTGCCCTGGAAAATAAGGGGAACGGTGGGCAGTGGGGGGGGGGGAGGGGGAGACGCCAGACAATGCGTGAGAATATAAGGGGATCCTGGGATCTGTGTCTATCTGCTTGTGAGTCCCTGGGCCCCTGCATTGAAGTTCAGGGGGGGTGGGATCTCACACGCCTGGTGGCCTCAGAGGAGCTGGCGGACAGGGGGGCTGCTAAGAGAGAGAAGGAGAAGCCTGCTGGCAACGCCTTCACCGCGAGGACGGGCGGTGTCTTCGGCGACGCCGATTCCATAAAGCAGCAGCTAAGAGATAAGCTGAAGGGGAAGGAATATAATGTGTTCGACTTCTACTGGACGACTGGCTACTGGCAAATGGTCGCGCGAAGCACTTATTTCGAGAACATCACCCTCCTGGTCATCTTTCTGAATGCTTTCTGGATCTGGATCGACACTGACTACAACACCGCAGTCACGCCTAACGATACGGAGTTCGGGTTTGTGCTTGGGGAGAACCTCTTCTGTGTTTACTTTTTTATGGAATGGCTTATCCGCTTCATGTCGTTCAAAGTGAAACGAAACTGCTTCAGGCCCAGACCGGTGCAAACACACACCGCCAGACCAGCTCAGACTCACTGGGGCCATCCCCTGGCGCGCAGCGGCCATCAGCCAGGGTGGGAGCCCCTTCGTTCCGAGGTCTTTCATTTCCCCAGTGGGCCCGAGCTGGCCTGGGTGGCGGTGTACACATGCTTCCTCCTTCTCGAGGGATTCGTGGATGGTCTTTGACTCCTGCCTCGTCGCCGCGATGGTGTCGGAGACGTGGGTCATGCCGATCATGGTGGCCCTGTTCTTCCCTGCGACAAACGGCACGGACATGGGAGATGCTTCGATCTTGCGCATGATGAGGCAGTGAGAGGGCAACCGGCGAATGCCACCAAGCTTGGTACACGTAAGAGTGACCCTTCGCCAGAGTGACCCTGAGTGCGGGCCTGCTGGGGTCACCCGATCGCCGAACGCGATGCGATCGTAGCTTCTTGCGCGCTTGGGTTTGGCCCCCCTGCGGCCACCAGAAATCCGCGCACCAAAGGTCACCCTTACCCAGGGTCACTCCTGCGTGCAACCGAGTGCAGAAGGGGGTGGTCAGAGGCGGCGGCCTCCTGATAAGCCAAGGGGCCTCTCAGAAGCCCTCCCGCCTTTGAACAAGTCGCCCTGGAAGCCTCTGGCCCCTGCAGAGACGCCCCCGTGCCTTCTCCGACTGCCGCGCCCCTCGCCCTGCCCCGCTCTGCGCCCCGCCGCGCTCGGAAACCGACAGGCGCCACCAAGCTTCCATACGCTTGTGGAGGACGATCGATGGAGAGGAAGCGTGCTGCTAAACAATTTCCAGATGTCTAAAACATGTGTTAAACATGCTTTGAACATGTGAAACACATGTTTGAAACATTTTTGGAACATGTTTTATACACTTTAAACACATTTTCAATTCAATGATAGGATTATGTCGGGCGTGTCCCCCATACAGGGGGATTTTCGACGAAAAAATAAAGATACCCCAAAAATACCCCCCAAAGGCAACAAACATACAACAAAAAATAGTCCCCAGACTATTTTTGGACTATTCTTTGACTATTTTGGGGGTATTTCTGAGTTTTCGTCGAAAATCCCCCTGTAGGGGGACAGGCCCGACTTAAACTCAGTGATAGGAGTGTTCGAGCGTCCATTGTCCTGGCATCCACAGCCGTACGCCCCTCTCCTGCCCGTGCGCTGCTGGGCACGGCCCCCTCTCGGCCTGGCCGGAGGCCGATACCCGCCCGGACCGGGCCCCCATCGGGCGGGGCCAGGGCGAGGATCCGTCCGTCCCAGCCCCCCCCGCTGGGCCGCGCACATGCCTCCGGTCATGATTCGCACCCCCCCCCTCTTGGACTCCCCCATCTTGGCAGCTCCCGAAGAACCGCTGGATCTCAGAGGTTCTCGATCTATTCCCACCTGAATTCCTCGGGGGTGGACAGACCTCCTACCCTGACGCGTCGATGAAGGAATTGGCCGCTTTCGGTTCGCGAGAGGGCGTCGCGGCCGTCATTTTCGCGGGTCCAGGTCCGTCGGTTTCGGTCCCAGGCCGTTTTTTCATAAGGGGAGGTTTGCTAAAGGGAGGTTTGCCCACCGCCGAATTCATCCCGGTCCTGGCTTCGTCTTACCTCCCCCTGGGGCCCGTGGATGCCTCGTGGTTCTGCTCGGCTCCTCCCAGCCCCCGCCTCCCGGTCAAGGAAGCTCCAGGGTCCCCCCCCGGGGTCAAGTCGAGCATGTCCCTCTACAGGAGGAATGTCCCAAAACAGTCCAAAAAGAGTCGGGGTGCGAGTTTTCGATTCGTTGTCCCTATTTTAGAGTATTTGCTGACAACTTGTATTTTTTCGTTCAACATCCGCCTGTAGAACCAGGCCGAACAAAAAAAAGGGGGATAGGGAAAGGGGGGTTACGAAATCTGCTGCATGCAGCTGGTTTCAGCCCTACCAAGGGGCCCATTCCTCGACACATGGCCGCCCCCCCCGGCGCCAGGAGGCGCCATGAAACTCAGCTGCGTGAGCCAATTCTGACCCCCCCCCCCTTTGCAATCCCCCCCGTTCGCCCGGCCCGACAGAATGACCTGCCCGACCTGCCCCCCAGGGGCACGGAGGCGCTCGCCCTCCGCGCCCCGCGGCCCCTGGGCTCGAGCGGCGCCCTCCTCCAGGGCGGCCTCTCGCGGGGGCGCGAAGGGGGCGGACCGCGCAGCGCGCGCGCCGCGGGGCGCGAGGGGCGCGCCGGGTGGGCGACCCCGGAGGCCGCTGGGCCCGAGAGGCCGCGGCGGGCCTCCGGAGTTTCGTCGGCGGGGGGGAGGGGAGGGAAGGCGGCGTCGAGCCCGCCGGCGCGGCCGTGCTCGGAGCCAGGAGGCGCAGAGCCGGGAGGGCGGCTCGCCTGCGCAGGGCATTGCGCAGGCGGCTGCGCAAGGGAGCCGGAGACCTCTGGGCCTTGGCTGCTCTGGTTACGCACGTTTTGGAGCGTAGCACGTGCCGTGTGCAAAGCGTCCGTGTTCAAAGCGTACGTGCTCAGTCTGCGTGTGTCGCCGAGCGCGTTCCGCTACTCGCAGAGTGCCTACTCGCAAACGTCCGAACAAAAACACATGTCGGCTTTGAGGTAATTTATCGTAGATCCCCCGCGGCGTATCCAGGCCATTTGCGAGTAGCTACTTTGCGAGTGGTGAAACGCGCTCGTCTAGCATTGAGCTCTGTATCGATGCGCCGCGTGTTGCGTGCTGCGTATCGGGGCAGCCAAGCTCTGGGCCTGTGGAGGCCTCGGCCGGCCTCTGGAGTCTCGTCGGCGGCGGGGAAGGAGGCAACACCGAGCCCCCGCCGGCGCAGTGTCGTGGCCACGCAGTGCTCGGATCCAGCAGGAGCAGAGCAGGAGGGCGGCTCGCCTGCGTAGGATACTGCGCAAGTGGCTGCGTCAGGGACCGCGTAAGTGAGTCACGACATGTTGCGTAAGATTTTTTTTTTTATTATTTAAAAAAAAAGAAGAATAATTATTATTATTATTATTATTATTATTATTATTATTATTATTATTATTGTTATTATTATATATATATATTAACATGGGGGGTTTGTTGTACATATATATATATATATTATTAGTTTTTTTTTCTCTCTCCTCAGCGCTCACGAGTACCGTTTGCCCCAGAACATCGCCACTCGTAAACTGCCCTCCCCCTCCCCCCTTTCCTTGTCCTCTCCACCTCGTGCACCCCCTGCTTCCGCCTCGTCGCTTTCGCCTGCGGCGGCTGCTTCCCCAGACATCCGACGTGAAAGTTCTGCAGCTCGCGGCCCAGAGGTTTCCGACCCCTTCGCCGGGGGGAGCTTCTCGTCCGGGATCCGTCTCTGATGGCACCTGGGCCACAAAAGGGACCCCGGTGGCCGAAGGCACCGCGAAGCGCACACGGATTGGAAAGCTCTCATCTTCGGAGGTCGGGCTTTCAGGGCGTGGCTCGGGCCTCTGGTGGCTGTGCGGAGCCATCCTGGCCCCCCCCTTTGGAACGCTCTCGGCGAGGCGCAGCTGCTGGAAAGCCTCCCGAGGCGAGGAAGCTTCCAGCAGCCAGCGAACAAGCTAACGAAACAACCTGCGGCAACACCACGTCGTGGGGGATCTGGGCTCCCGTTCTCTTCGCCCCCGGCGGCAAGGCTGCTGAGGCTCACGCGCATGGCGCGCATGGTGCGCCTCCTGCGAGCGGTGCCCGAGCTCATGACGATGGTCCGCGGCGTCGTGGCGTCCGCTCGCTCGGTCTTCCTGGCGGGCATCCTGCTCGTGGCCGCACCTGGGGCATGCAAGAAGCGCCCCACGAAGTTCTGCCCCCCCGGCTCTCAGGCTCCAAAACAGGTACAGCGTTTTCTTGTTGCTACAGTCGGGCATCTGATTGAGAGTCTTCCTCCCGAAAAAAGCAGGGCCAGCGTTTCTTACCCAACTTGCCGGAAATCTGGGCCAGTTTCATCAGCACGTTCGCCCCTTCCTCGTTGACAACAGAAACGGGCCCAGGTTTGCTTCAAGAGAGTTCTGGGAAGCTGCCCCAATATTTTCGGCTTTCTTTCCGCACTCCAGGTGCCCTCCACGGGCCCTGGGACCGCCAATAAGACTACTCAGGAGGAAACACCGGCCCCAGGGAAGTGGTCCAGCCTTCCAGGGGTCCAGGCACCGACAAAACTTGGAGCGCCTGATGTCAGGGGCGTCGCAGTTTGTTTCGCAGTGGACGCCTTTGCCTGCATTCGGGCCCTGGGACCATCGCGGATCGATCCAGCGCGAAGGAGGCAGCAGAAAGATTGGGTCTGGGGCTTTGGTAGTGATTTTTCGTGAGGTTGAATGTTTGCACAATTTCGGATCTCAGGGCCTGAGGGGGGCTTCTGCTCCCCCCCCTGGCCCCCCCAATTGCGCCGTCCGGGACGGGGAGGGGCCAAGGGCTCCTCCTCCTCTTCCTCCATTCCGACGCTGTGCCTCCTCCTCCTCCTCCTTTTTCCGCCTTTTACCTCCTCCTCCTGGATTCCCTTCGGGGGTAATATATTCAAACATTTGGAACAAGCAGAGACGAGCAGCAAAGTCCCTGCGCAAAGATGACCCCCACACATTGAGAAGCGGATCCAATTTTGAAAAATTCACGCTCGTCTCCTCATCTGCCTCCTCCTCCTCCTGCTCCTCCTCTTTCTCCTTTTCCTCCTCTAGCGCTCTTTTTCTGCTGCTGTGGACTGATCTGTCGAACTTGGCTGAATCCCCTCGTGCTTTTGTGGCCTCTGTCGCCTGGCCTTGGTCGGCCCCTCAGTCGGGTGAGAAAGGGTGTACAGTGAGCCGCTTCTGAAGGGGGGGAGTTCACCTGGAGGCGAAGCAGAACGCGGAACGGGTGACACGAGGATTAGGAGGAAGAGGAGGAGCAGGAGGAGGAGGAGGAGGAGGAGGAGGAGGAGGAGGAGGAGGAGGAGGAGGAGGAGGAGGAGGAGGAGAAGGGGGAGGGGGAGGGGGAGGGGGAGGAGCAGGATGATGATGATAATGATGATGATGATGATGATGATGATGATGATGATGATGATGATGATGATGATGATGATGATGATGATGATGATGATGATGAGGGGGGATGTTGATGGTAATGATGATGATGATGCTGCTGATGATGATACTGATGATGATGGTGATGATGCTGATGCTGATGCGGCTGGTGAAGATGATGATGATGCTGATGATGATGATGCTGATACTAATGATGATGATGCTGCTGATGATGGTGATGATGATGAATATGATGATCCTCATGATGATGGTGATTATGACAACGATGCTGATGCCGCTGCTGATGATAATGCTGATGTTAAGGGTGATGGTTCTGATGATGCGGAAGAAGAGCCAACATCTGCTGCTGATTACTACGGTGATGATGATGCTGATGCTGCTGCTGATGATGATAATGATAATGATACTGATAATGATAATGATGATGATGCTGATGATGATGATGATGCTGATGATGATGATGTTGATGATGATGATGTTGTGATGCCGCTACTGATGAGGATTATGATGATGCTGATACTGTTGACGATGATGATGAGGATGCTGATGATGTTGATGATGTTGATGAAGAAGCTGTCGACGATGATGGTGATGATGCCGACGACGATGATGCTGATCATGATGATGATGATGCTGATGATGATGATGATGATGGTGATGATGCTGATGATGGTGCTGATGATGAAGTACATGCAGATTGTGATGACGATGCAGATGTTGATGCTGCTGATGATGATGCTTATGGTGATGGTGATGATAATGGTGCTAATCATGATGATGACATTGAAGACGATGCTGCTGCTGATTATGACGGTGCTGTTAGGTATGAAAGTGGTGCTCCTGATCATGATGATGATGACGATTATGCTGATGATGATGATGATGCTGCTGCTGATGGTGATGCTGCTGCTGCTGATGTTTTTGATAATGAACTAAAAAGAGGATCTTGATGATGAGCAGGATGATGCTGATGATGTTGCTGATGATGTTGATGTTGATGGTGAGGTTGTTAATGATGATGATGCTGATTATGATGATGCTGATGATAAGGATATTGTTGATAATGATGGTGATCATGAGGATGATGATGCGGCTGCTGATGATGATGATGAGGATGATGATGATGACGATGAGTATGCTAAGATTGATGACGATTCGGATGATGGTTTCAGCGCCGTCAGTCGTATTGTCCTCCCGCAGACCTTGTCGTCCGCGCGGGGGAGGGAGGTCATCCAACCACCCCTGTTTAGTAAGCGGCGTCTCCCGCTTTGTGACGCGGGTCCGTTAGCTCCTGCACCTGACCTCCTCCTACGCGCTCTTTTCTTCATTGGCCATGTAGCGCGCACGGCGCGTGCAGCCGTCGGGCCCAGACGGTGACACTGTCCGAAGTGGTGCTCCCTCCTCTCTCCTCTCCTTCCCCCTCCTCTCCCCAAGGCCCTCATGTTCGTGTTCGGCATCGCCATGCGGCAGCTCAGCGCCGGGTCGGGGCTTGGAGACGAGCTCTTCCCGTCCGTGCCGGAGGCGATGATCACGCTGCTGATCGACGGCGTGTTCCTCGACGAGTTCGGCTTTGTCCTCCGCGCGGTAGGGGCACAGAGCTACCTCACCGCGTTCGTGTTCATGTGCTTCATTTGCCTGGCGGCGCTCACTGTGATGAACATGTTGATTGGAGTCGTACCAACCTGAGGGAGCATAGTTTCGGTCAGGAGCTTTGGCTTAGCGTGTCATGTCGCGCCGCTGGTTCCGGCCCGCCACGCGGTGGAGCGACGCGCTGACCACGTCCCAGTCCCCAAGCGTGAACGTCCCGAGCCTTTCCCAGCCTTCCACCCCACGAAGCGGAGCGGCGCACTATCCCCTTGCAGGGCACAGCGTGTCACCAGGGCCGTACATGGGACGCCCCATGCGCTTGGCATCGCTCGAACGTGTGCATTCGTTTTTCGGCGAGGACCATCGAGGAGCATGAGGAGGAGGAGGAGGAGGAGGAGGAGGAGGAGGAGGAGGAGGAGGAGGAGGAGGAGGAGGAGGAGGAGGATTTTGGGGTCATCTGGCGAACAAGCGCACGCACAAAGCCGACCAGATGCACGGGAAATGGACGTCCGAGCTCTGGCGAGTGCAGGGGCCCCGCCTTCGGCGGCTGTCTCCCGCTCGGCGCCCCCTGTCCCCCGCGGCGGAGGCCGTCGCCAGACTGGCGGAGGCCCGCGGGAGCTGGGCGGGGGCGGCGCCGTCGGCGGGAGCTCGGTGGCCCTGAAGCCAGGCTGCTGCAGACAAGCGCGGGTTGGTTTCCATGTGGGGGCCACGTGCGAACCTTACCCCCGCTAGCCCCCCTCAGAGAGCGTGGGGGGTAGAGGGGGTAGGGTTTGCACGTGGCTCGCTGTTTCCAGGAGGCCGGACGCTGCCGTGGGCACAGTGTGCAGACGGCACCCAGGCCCCAGGAGCAGCGTCGGCGGCGAGCGAGGGGGGGGGGAGGGAAGGGAGAAGTAGGAGGCCCTCTCAGAGGGCTCGGGAGCCCCCCCCAGCCTTTGAGCAGTTTTCCAAGCCATTCCCCGAAGACGCGGGAAACCTCTCAGAAGGCCGGATGGCTTCTGAGAAGTCCCGCCGCCCTCTGAGACGGCCTTCTCCTTGTCACTTCCCCCCTCGCTCGCCGCCGATAGCAGTGCAGCTAGGAGTCGGCTCGGGGTCTGGGTGACCCAGCATTGGTCCCAGCCAGCACGGAGGGGGGGCCAGGTTCGAGGTGCTGGGTCCGAGGAGTTTTTTTTTGTTGTGCCTCTTCGGTCTCTGGGGGGCCGTTTTCAGGTCCCGGGACCGTCACAAGCGGATCTGGGGTAAAAACCAGATTTGCTTCGGGAGGGGTTCGGGGATTGATTTTGAGCGGATTTGCCTTCACCCCCCTTCTTGACCGATTTTCTGGGGTCCCAACCAGTTCAGACCCCCTGGCCGCCTTCAAAGTGCAGATGTGTGCCGTTGTTTTTCGGATTGTAAGTCGTGTAAATCCCTATCCCTCCCCTCAGCGAACTTCGGGCGCTCGTGCTCTGATATTGCACTGCATTGCATTGCATCGCGTTGCGTTTGTATTGAGCTGGGTTGCATTTGCACTGCTTTTGCACTGCGTGACTTGTTCGACACTTTCCGCTGTATTGTGTTGTGTTCAAGAGAGTCCGCACCTGGGTCGCGACAGGTTCATTCACATGATATCGTACCAGCTCTAACACACTTGTTGATGTTATACAGTAATCTCCCAAGGTATGCGAACTCGTAAGCGCTGTTGCAGCAAGAGAGAAGGAAGAGCGAACGATCAACATGGTAAAAGAGAAGGTCTCGGCAGTCATGAAGAGGGTGGACGATGACGGGGATGGCTTGATTTCAAAGGGCGAGTTCCTCAAGATGGTTCAGGAGGCAGATTGCGTCGACGCGCTAACGTCGGTCGGCGTAGACGTTCCGGGGCTCATGGACATAATGGATATGATATTTCTACATGGTGACGCAATACAGACGGACTCGGATGGGGAGCCTGTGCTCACCTACGATGTCTTCATCGAGACGGTTTACAACCTCCGGGGATCCAACGGCGCCTCTGTGAAAGACGTCGTGGACCTGCGCAAGTTTGTCCACCAGGGATTCGGGAGACTGGAAGAGATGGTCAGACCATTTCTGTCCGCCCTCTGGCCGACGTCAGAGAATGGCAAGCTCGAGCTCGCGGAGGACGCGAGCACCGATGCCCGACTCCGTCGTCTGGAGGGCAAGGTGAGCCGCATATTGGAGTTGCTGGAGAGTCAGCAGATGGTGGGCACCACGCGCACGAGGCTGTGACGAGCAGGTGTGGCGTAGCGTGCCACCTCTTCTCGTGGATTTCCCCCCCCCTTCCTCGAAGAAGAACACTACCCCAGCAGAGCACCGGAGCATTGCAGACGTCTAGGGGTCTGAGGTGGCCAGCACTGGTTCTGGCGAGCAGGAAGGGCGGGCAGGTTCGAGGTGCTGGGTTCGGGCAGGTTTTGTTTTTACCCTTTTCGGCCTCTGGGAGACGTTTTCGGACCCTGGGGCAGTGAGGAATGGATCTGGGCGGAAAACTGCGCAAGCTGGACAGATTCTGAGTGGATTTGTTTCATCAGCCAGGTCGAACCCCAGCCGCCTGCAACTCCCTCCCCGTCCTCGAATAAGAACGACACCCCAGCAAAACACCCTAATAGCAGCAAAGCGCGGCCATGTGCGCCTTAGTCTATTCTTGTACAAGGGATCGTGGTCGTCCAGGCAAAACGTGTTTCCGACATTGAGGCTCCGCTGTGTGTGTGTGTGTGTGTGTGTGGGTGTGTGTGTGTGTGGTCATGTGGTCCGCTGTGAGCTGGCCAACCATCCTCATCAGATGCCTGTGCAAACAAGTGTTGAGGGTGTGCGCGCCATACACGGTGCTAGCCATCCCGCCGTGATTTTGCACAGTTCTGGTCGTGTATGGTGGATGGGGCCCGCGTGCAAAGGGCAGCTGGCGCACTTGGCGCGCGTGGCGCAAGTGGCTCGTGTGGTGCACCAGGCGTTCCCGTCGCCAGTAGATATTGGATGTCAGCGGCTGTCCATCGGATTGCGGTCGTTTCCCATGTTGAGTCCTGGATGCGACTGATTTGCTGGGGGGGTTCTTGGGGGGCAGCGAGACAGTTTTTTTTTATGTGTGTGCTTGTGTACAAAGCTTTTTCTTGAAAGTCGGGGGGTGGGGGGTGGGGGGTGGATGGGGTTGGCGGGCGACCTCTATCCCTATCATCGGCGGCGAGCCTGGGGGGGAGTGAGAAGGGGCGGGCCTTCTCAGAAGGTTCGGAAGTCCCCGGCCTTCTGACAAGGCCCCTAAGTCTTTCCCGAAGACACAGGGAATATTTCAGAAAGTCGGAAAGCTTCCGAGAAGCCCCGCCGCCTTCTGAGGAGGCCTTCTCCTTCTTACGTCCCCCCTCGCTCGCCGCCGATCTCACTCACCCTCCTGCTCCTCTTCCTCCTTCTTCCCTTTGTCACTCCTCCCCCTCTTCTCCCGTCTCCTCCAGCCCTCCCCTCCCTGCGCGACGGCGCGCCGAAGACAGAGCTCCGCGGTCTTGCGCAGCGTGTGCGAGAGATGGCCAGCCGCCTCCCGACTTCCCGACGGGGCGCTTAGCGCAGCGCTCGGCTTCCCGTCGGGTGGACGCGGCAGGGACCCGCCTCGGCGCGGGGCCGTCTCGGGCCAGAGGCCTGGGCGTCCAGCCAGGGGTGGCTCCACGATCTGCGCCGCTGGGTGCAGCCCGGCCCCTCGGGAGCAGCAGAGAGGTACAGGAAGAGCGGCTCCCCCTCCTTCCACCCGTCGGCGGCGAGCGAGGGAGGAAAGTGAGAAGGAGCAGGCCTTCTCAGAAGGTTCGGAAGTCCCCCAGCCTCCTGAGAAGTGTTCTATGCCTTCTTCGACGACAGAAACAGCTCAGAAGGCGGGAGGGCTTCTCAGAAGTCCCGCCGCCTTCTGACAAGGCCTTCTTCTTCTCATCTGCCCCCCTCGCTCGCCGCCGAACCTGCCTCCTCCCCCTCTGGCGACGCGTTATCTTACTTGGTCTGTTCGACGTGTGGCCCCCAGGGATCTCGGCCCCTTTCCCTGGGGCCGGCTTCTCCCCCCGAGCCGCTCTTGGACGGCCCCAGGGCCGGAATGCGGCCTCAGGGAGCCGAGAACGTGGAGCAGCTGGCCGTCTCGATGCTCTGGCGACGCCCAGATCTGAGGGTCTCTTCCAAAGTCTGCCCCTGGACCCGGCCCAGGGTGCGTCCTCCTCCTCCTCCTCCTCCTCCTCCTCCTCCTCCTCCTCCTCCTCCCTCCTCCTCCTCCTCCTCCTCCCCCCCCAGCTCCTCCAGCTCCTCCTCCCCCTCTAGCTCCTCCAGCTCCCCCCCCTCCCCCTCCCCCTCCCCCTCCTTCTCCTTCTCCTTCTCCTCCTCCTCCTCCTCCTCTTTTTCCAGTGGCTCTCGCATCGCTCCCTCGAACTCGGCTCGGCAGGGCTGGCGGAAAATTCACTGATATTCAACCGAGTTGAAGCCTGGCCCACCACTCACCCAACTCCGCAGGTCGGGCTAAGGGCCAGGATTTCGAGACATGCATTCCTCGTGGCCACGGCAACTTTCCTCTGAGTAGTTGCTGGCGCTGCTGCTGGTAAAGTTTGTCGCAAGGGACATCCAGGGCCCTGGCGGGGCCCGAAGTGTAGGCCCCACACCGAAACAAAACGCCACGGGGAGCCCCGAGTCTATGACTCTACAGACAAACAGTCTATGGGGAGGCGTCGCCTCTATGTCCCTCACCTTTAGCAGGGACGGGGTCAGTGCAGCGCACCCGCCCTTGGCAGACTTATTCTGAAATCTCTTAGCGCGTCCGGCACATCGCCACATGGAACCGTTCCACAAAACGCGATGAGAGCGCTTATTCGCGACCGCAGGAGGACCCAACGTCCCCGAGACTGCCCTATCAAGCTTCCCAAAGAGTTCTCGTGCCTTTGGGGTGTCGGCTGAAACACGTGCAGCGCCTATTGCTACCTCACCCCACCCATCAGGGTTCACTCCATATCGATGAATGTTCTCCAGGGTCTGCGGATGGATCTTCGCCCCATCCTTGGCGTACTCATCCGCGCGGTTGTTCCCACGCTGGTGGCGCAGTGGGATCCCCTCGAGGGCCTCCGTCACATGAGCCTTCACCATTTTTAGCCTCCAAGCTGGGAAGGACTTCGCAAAAAGGGCCCGCCAAACTTATGCTAGCGGACCGTGTCCCGAGGTGGCGGGCATAACATCATCCACTGACACAGCAGACTCTTACAATCCACATGGATCGTGAACGGGCTGTCGGGATCTGATCTTTCTGGGCCTCCCTCCAGGTGAAGCAGGGCCTGCAACAGACCGTAGCATTCCCCAAACACCGCCGCCTGAGGAAGAAGCCCAGGAACGTTTCCGATAACGGCTTGTAGAACATGTCCTTCATCGTCCACCGACACCACAGCCCACCCAGCTCTGGCCACCAGTTCATATTTACCTCCAAAACAAGACCCGTCCGAGTAACTGTGGACACTCTTCGAAAACTTGAACTCTGGCGTGGGCCCGTCAGGCCCAGCATCTCTGGCTTCCCCTTCCCATAGTGCAGGAACAATCTCGTCTGGTTGAGGCAATCACAGCTGGCTAATAAAAACGGGTCTTGGTCCCCTGCTGCGAGACCTGCCTCGGCCCACTCCGTGGGCAGGTGCTCGGATCTCCGCTCGGCGGAGTGCGGGCACTCGAGGACTTTGTGCCAGACACTATCTAGCACTGTGCTGTCCATGCAGGACGGGCAATTTGGCTCCACCTTGTATCGCTATCTGTGAAGATGGGCAGCCGTAACATAGCTTCTAGTGAACACCTGTTTAGCTATTCTGCGAATGTTTCTGTCCCTCTTGCCGTTCCAGATGGATTTCGCGGGCTCAGTCCAGAGTCCTCTATCCGAAATTTCCTGTGCTCGAGGGTGTTCACCAGCTCCGAGATATTTCTGCATACTACTGGCCACGAACTCCTTACCTAGATCCCTTAAGAAGTAGTTGGATACCTGTACGTAGGGGATCCCCGTGAGCACACAATGGGCCCCCGACCTCATCGTAAACATGCCAGGTCCTCTGACAGTTCAAGACGCCTTCCTCATGCACAAGAGCATATCACCCACCGGTCCCCAAGATAACGTATCCCAAGACGCCAAGGCCCTCCGCTCCTGATAATCCCGGGCCACGCCCAATATTTTGTTGAGCCCTACTATCTTAAGACATGCTCCTGGCGTGTGATTTGGGTCGGAGGCCAACCAGAACTCCTTTGCACATCTTGTTAAAGTCGCTCCCGCGTGCCGCAGCGGGTCCCTGTTCGGCTCCAGCGCGAATGCCAAGTTGAGGTCCGCGCCGCAGCTGGAGAGACCTAAAAATCCTGCCGCCTGCGAGCGAAGCCGTCGGATCTCTCGAGGGTTCAATCCCACCACCTCCTTCCCATAAGTAGTGGCAAGCTTCACCCCGCAAGACCATATCTTGGCTCTAGAACGTTTGGGGTTCTTCAAACTCATGATTTTCCCAAGGCGTCTAGATTGCTGCTTCCATCTCTCATTCCTTTTCAACATCCCATGTTTGACCTTCCTATGTTTGCATGGGTTGTAGTCAACACCTAGATTCACAAGCGTGACATCGTACTGGCCCACATACTGAGCAATATTCATCTTGGCAATGAGCCCAGCTCCCCACTGGTGCCTGTGATACAGTACTTCGTCAAAGCGAAAGTCAAAAAGCTTTGAGAGGTGGTCAATCAATAACGCTAGCGATATTGCCATGTTTACACACCTGCACATGTCCGCACAGCGCTCATTCAGGCTGAAATCGTCGACATGGATCGCCAGGTCCGTTGAGAATCCTTTTGCTAAATTACTGCTCACAGTGGGAATCCAATACACCTTGATTTCGAAAGTGGCCGTGCTGCTCCCCGCGACAATGCCCTGATGTGGAACTAACCCCTCAGACATGACACCGTCCATGTTAAGCATGCGCTCCCACTCGTACGTGTGCAGTGCAAGCCGCAGGGCATAAAGAGAATACTGACACTCGATCGCGCTCTTCACAAGTTGCGGGTGCAGAACGTGCTCGTAGCACTGCGTGAGATCTGCCAGCAAGCTCAGAACGTGTTGCTTCTCCGAGACTGCGAGGTCACCTCGAACCTGTTGCCCCCAGACTGTGTCTACTGGCGACCTCCCCGCTCTCATACTGAAAACTCAAATTTCCTGGATTTTGTGCTCCCATTTCTTGCAGCCCCTGGAGTGCCAACGCGAAACCATTCGGATCAAA